GTTGCCCGACGATGCAGTCGAGACGCAGAAGCGGACGCGATGTGTCCTTTCGAATCCAGTAGCCTAAGTCAAAATTCAGCAGCGATGGAAGTCGGCGGCCATTAATGGTTAGCGTATCTGACTGTTGTACCCAAGTTGGCGGTTTCAAAACTGATCGAAGCCGTGGATTTTTAACGGCGAGAAAATCCTTCATACGCCTCCTTTGGAGGGGAAGTAAAGCTGGCTGTCCCATGTTAGTAGATTTACTTGCATGTAAAAGATCCTCAAGCCTAAAATGAGTTAAATTCTAAGCTAAATTCAAATCGCCTGCCCAAGAAATGCCTCCTTTCTTCGCTACTAGGTGAAAGGAGCGTAGCGTGGTCAGACGAAAGAGCGGGCCCGATGGCCTGAGTCTCGCCACGTAAAAAAGGCATCAATTCAATTCAATACCATCAACAGTGACCTGTGATCAGTCATCAGTGGGAAATGTCGACTAATCAAGTAACGATGGAATTTCTTCTCTCCAAAGGCTACCAGTGAATTTTCCGTAATAATTAATCAGTCCCAGGCAACTCGTATTTATAATGCCATATTGTTTACAGTCTTTTCTAGCTCGATCTGTAAATAAGCATCCGTCAGAAATTGCCGCAAGTCCTGACTGAACTGTCTTCAGAACGGGTAAAATCGGTGCGGCCCAATCTGACCTCAGTATCGGCTCAATCACATCCATTTTTGTAAGGCGGTCCAGATCAGCTTTAATATTTTCTTTCAACGTGAAGGGTACAGGTCGAGACTTACAGAATTGAGGGGCTGTGTCTGGACTCAACTCCACATGGGCACAGACACTGGTTTAATGACCCAGTTCTGTCGAAAATAAAAAAGAAAACAACCTAGTAACATCGTGAAATGAAATGTGTTGGATAGGTGGTTGTAAGAATTGGCGTAAGCGTGCCCAGTTCACAGGAAACGTAAGCAGCCAGCCGCGTCCAAACAATGCCGATATGCCTGTAGTGGAAACGCTGTTAACGCACACGTTCGTATGGAACTCACCTATCACCGGTAGACTTTGGCCACCGTAAGTATGCAGTGTAATTGTTGACGATTGAAGTTTTGGCACGTCCAATTCCGCCAAACACACTCGTTCAGTATACTGTAGGACGTTCCAGTATTGAGTTGCATTTAATTGCTGTCGCATGTATCAAGACTTCATTAAAAAAAAGAAAGCGAGTTCTGCTGGGATTCTATGCATCATAAATATAATGCGATCGAGGTTCTACACTTTATTTTTTTACAAATCACTGTTACCAATTCAATTATTTTCTAAGTATCATGATATGAGGACAAAATAATGGTGCGAGAAGTGTTTCTTCTCAGACGGCCTCGCCCAACACAGTTAATATACTTCCGTTTTTATAACTGGTGCGCCAGGGCGTGTCTTCACAATGGAATATCTCACGGCATTTTGCGTCTTTCTCGGTCGTGCAGCAAGATGCTGCTAGATATCGCATTGCTTGACACGGTCGCGATCATGCGACATCTAAAGGCACTCCCGAGAAAGTCGCGAGTGCCTTCAGATATTCCACCGTGATGATGGATCTTGACGGGCTACGGTGTAAAAACCGAAGTATAATAAATAACACGGTCTGCTCCCGAGCTTCTGCAATTTTTTACGCTTGGCGTGCCTCATCATCTACATACATAAGATTTTATACATTACATCTACAGAAATGCAATGGAGATTTCTAGCATTATCTCTTCATTTCGAACAAAAAATCGTTTTGCCCCTGTTCTTGAAAATTGTGTCTCTCTCCTTACATATTTCATCTATAGGAACTACATACATAGAATGGAGATTTTTGGCCCTAGAACTTCATTCAAAACAAACAAGACGTGTTTATTCACGATTTCTAATCATCATAGACAAAGTACTAAACGTGCAAAATTTTCATGATATTCTATAGCGGGGGTGCGGGGAGAGGAGGGCTTTGGCTACGTCACGGCTGAAAAAGGCATTCCAACTGTGGGAATGAACTCGCTAAAGCGTGCCATGAGAAATGCTATGATTGTTTTGAAAGCACGAGGTGATTGTTGCCGTGGTACGTGCCGTTCCGAGTCAAACCTAAGTATCTTAACGTATCGTGCTATTCAGCGTTGTATTAAGACTAGGGAGCTCGTGTATCAAGAAAACTTGCGAGAGTAATACTTTTTTTACTTATAGATTTCGGGTATCAAAAATACAGAACAGCAACAATGGTTACTAGCATCAGATCTTCATGTCAAACATACAAGTCGTTTTCTGCAGTTCCGAGTATTGTAAGCTCAAATTAGTTTCAAATTTCAGAAATCAGAACTACAAACAAGCAATGGAGGTTATGTAAGGTTTCTAGGCATCGTAGACAGAAAACTTCTCTAGCACTTATAGATTGCAGATATTCGAACTGCAGAAATACAATGGACGTTACTGACTTTAGATCTTAATATGAAAATGTCAAGTCGTTTTGTTGCTGTTCCGAGAATCCTATACCCTCTTACTTATAGTTCTCAGATATAACTACATAAGAGCAATGGAAGTTTCTTCCCAATGAAATTCATTAAAAACTAACACGAGTTCTGCTGGGTTTCAAAGCATCGTAGACTGGATACTTTCTTTACTTATAGTTTGCAGGTATTAAAATTGCAGAAATGCAAATACATACGAGCAATGAAAGTTTCTTGCCGTAGAACGTCGTTTATCAACGAGTTTTACTGGGTTTCAAAACATCGTAGACAGAATACTTTTTGTACTGATAGATTACTGGTATTAGAACTGCAGAAATACACAGGAGGTTACTGACTTTAGATCTTATTATGAAAAAGGGAAATGGTTTTGCTGTTATTCCGACAATCGTATACTCTCAATACTTATAGTTCTCGGATATTATAATCATAGAGAAATGGAAGTTTCTTCTCATAGAACGTCGTTTAAAACCAACGAGACGAGTTCTACTGGGATTCAAAACTTCATACACAGAATACTTGTTCTACTGATAGATTGCAGGTATTAGGACTGCAGAAATATACTGGAGGTTACTGACTTTAGATCTTATAATGAAAAGGCAAGTCGATTTGTTGCTGTTCCGAGAACTGTATACTCTAATTACTTATAGATCTCAGATGTTAGAACTACATACGAGCGATGCTGGTTTATTGTCACAGAGCTTCATTCAAAATAAACACGACGGATAGCAATACTCCATACTCCGTACTGCAATCAAATGTTTGGATGCACAATATGTTCTGCCAGGTTCTCAGCTTGCACAGACTTGAACTGCGATGCACGTCAACGCCCCGCAGAGGCAAATTCACCTCATTACCTAGCATTTTGGGAAAGTAGAGCGAGTTGTTTGTGTGCCATTTGTGTGATTTTTGTCTTTTCTTTATGAAAAAAATAATGAAGCTAAATATTTAGTGTTATAGAGAATGTCCCATTGACTGTAGGCAACTTATATAAAGTTATAAATTACCTTATACAAAGTTCACGATATCGAAATGCAGTTTTCGCATAACAATGCGGAATCATGAGGCAAGTAATATGCCGTTGATGCAGAAATAGTGGATATACGTAGTATATCTACTAGCTATATCTAGTAGCCGTTTTTTTCATGGGAAATATCAGGATCGGTAATTTCAGTACCAATGTACTATTGAGAAGTGTCTGCTAAATTAACTTTGCAGAAACCACAGCTTCAAAGGACAAATTATCGATGTATTTACTTAATGAAAAAATCGATGAATCAAGCTTATTTACAAAAAATGTACGATAAGATTTTCAGATTACTCAACTGTATGACTCTAGCTTCGCCACTATGAAAAACTTTTATGAACATAACAAAGTATTGGCATAAATTTGATTAGACTATTTTGGTTGTTCAACGAAAATACAATATCGAAGTCAGTCCAGCCCGTGTATTTCATGTAAATCTGCCGCACCCAGCCAGTCCCCGTGCGGTCGTACGGCGGTCTAGCGCGCCGGCGGCCCTCCAGCCCGCCTCTGACCGGCCGGCATATAAGCAAACTGCACTTGTACTCGTATTCAGCACCGGGCTTCCCCGATTCGCTAGCGGGCCCGGATCGCAAAACCGCACGAAATTCGTATATTCTCTTTCTTCGGAGCCCTGAAGTGCCACAGCGAGCGTCAGTGCACGTGGACTCGGCTACTCTGTGCATAGGCAAAACGATGAGCCTTTTCGTTTGCGGGTGTTTTTCTCTGACATCAGCTGTGAAATTAGTCTTTACCATTATGGGAACTAACAATCGAAGGTGTTTTGTCAGTAAGTCCCTAAAGTTATATTTTGATTTTATATGAATAAATGCGAACTAGGAAACTAAATTATTTTCTTTCCAAGTGAATTACAGCCATGAAGATGAAAAGGATAATGAAGAAGAATCAGTCATAAGAAGTGCAATAAGTTCAATTGAAGACATTAACAATTGAAATACACGAAGATCACCCGAATGAAATGAAATGTCTGATCATCAAAGCCTTCAGGAAAACGATTTGTTTAATCACTAGTTGACAGAAATACACAATGTTTTTATATTTTATTATAGAGATAGCAAACAATATCCTTTCACTTTAAAAAAGTGTGTCATCATAGTACACACAGAAAAGTAGTGGGAGAAGAAAATAGAAGAATTTCTAAAAATGCTGGCTGACCAGCCACATTGTCACTAGCAATTAAACTGAACACTGCAGACACAAGAATAAAATATGCCTTTATTAAAGTACGTAGAGTTTTCAATTTGTTTATATTGTTTTTAAATTTCTTTACAGATGCCTTTATACAGCTTCAAAACAAAACGTTGCCACACATACTATTAGTGAAGACGTGCACATTATCTTCTGCCTAGCAAACTAAACCCCTTTAGTTAGAAAACCAAACCCCTTAATAAAATTGACGTATACAAATAAAATATCAATAAACATTTTTTCTTTCAAAAATCCTATGTAACGGTACAAGCTCATACGCTGAAAACTTTCCATGAAAAAAAGGGGGGGAAAAGCGACGCAGGTGCGAAAGGGGGTCGTAGGTACCCGCGCCCGTTCGGCTATTGAGGCGAGGGGTTGTATGAGATTTTATGGAAAGACACCCCCGCGCGGTGCCGAAGGAGGGTCGGTCGGCAGCCGGGTCCTCGTCAAATGTCAAGTGGGTGACTCCTATTCACCCACGCGACCGCTCGGGCAATTGCGCCCTTTCGGGAGACACATTTACGACCCAACGGTCAGCGGCGCACGTGCGAATCCGACGTAAAGAGGCCCGAAGTTTCTTTTATAACAGCAACGGACATTCTGGCAGTTGAGAAAAGGGTTCCCGTGTGATTGGTTAGACACACACCTCCACCCTGCCCCGCGAAATTCAACGCCGCGTATCGGGAGGATACACGCTGTTTGAGGAAGGGGGTACCGAGGTTTGCTGTTACCAGGTTGCCGCTCTGTAGTCATTCGATTTGATAGTTCCGCCACGAGCACTCGATTTGACTTGTTTTCTTGACTCGGTCACGAGTGGTCATTGGAGTTCTTAGCTCGGCCATGAGTAACCATTCGATTTCGTGACACGGCTACGAGTATTCACTTGATTTTTTTTTTTTACTTGGCTCCGAGTATTCACTTGAATTCAGTAAGGCATTGACTGAAACTCAAGTTATTAACTTCACTTTGCTTGCTCACTTGACCTCACGTAGCATTCGAAGCCTCTTGCGGAGGGAAGTCGACCCCTCGCGCACCCTGTCAGAAATTCAGGCGAAAAGGGATGCAGTCTCGCACCTAAGTCAATTTGCCGCGTTATGACAATCGTCCGCGACTGCTGATACGGAAGTTGATTGGCTTCCAATCAATCATCGCCGATGAACACCGTTGCTGCCTGAGGTTGGTGACGCTGGTTAAAGTTGTGGATCCTAGAAAGCGCGGCGACGTCAGACAGCCACGCTGGGAGCCCCTGTGTTCACTGCCTCTGCCTGAAAGGGGGCGGCCCGCTCCAGAACGCAGGCCGACGACTCCACCACCGGATGTGCTGTGATGCCCGCCGACAGAAAACGAGGGTAATAATCCGCTTAGCTCCCGCACGCGCGGTAGTGCGGTCGAACACTTGCTGAGAGAAGCAGGGGGGGCGGGGGGGGGGAGAGGGTGCCTTCAGCACAAGTATTTATGACGACCCATTGCTTTTTTTGTAATTAATTTAATAGATGCCTAATGTTCTAATAAAAGAAAGGGTGGTTTTTTTATTATTGTAATTAATGTAAATCATCATCATTTTAGTGAGTAAATGTTTATTACTGCAAATGTTATGTCTATTATTGTTGAAATTCCCGTTCCCGTTTCAGCTACACGACTCGTTGGGTTACACCTACTTTAGCAATTGTGGAATAATGGTGGAACTAATGAAGTTGTAAATCATAAGTAAATATTCAACATTTAGTAGGAATCAATAAAAAATGGTTAAATGTTAAATTTACATATCTATTAATTAAACAATTAATAACTAAATATTAACATATTAATAATACACCTTTTGTGGCTTCTTATAACATTTATTCAAAGACTTGAAAATGGTATTAAAATTACTGTAATTTATAATCTGTAATAATATAATTTTAATGTTAAAAATTAACCACACAACCTAAATTAATATCATTTTATTTTATATTCTGAGACATGGAATTGTCACTTGTCTTAATGCCATGTACAAAATTGAAATGAAGTAAGTTTCCATTTAATGCAACAAATTGGGAAGTTAGAAAATATTTTAGTTTCAGAATAATAATAATAATAATAATAATAATAATAATAATAATAATAATAACAACAATAATCATAATAAAGTAAATGATATTAAATTATGTACAATTTAGAAAATGTATCATTATTTATTGTCTTAAAAGACTTTTTTGAAAATCAGTAAATCTGAAAAGGTTGGCACGTTCAGTTGTGAGCATTACTTTTTTGAGGCTTATCTCTTTGAATTGACAAAAAAAATATTTTAACAATTAAATAACATATTTTTATTTTCCTAAAGGATTGTACGGAGTTTTAACAATAAATAAAAGTCAAAACCACAGTGTAAGAAATGCTGAAATACAGTGGTTCCTACCAGCTGGTATAGCTACAAGGGGTGCATCCCTTCACTATTTAAAAATGGGAATGGGCATTGCAGAATCATGCAAATATCACCAGACCCTTCTTGAACTAGATGGAGATATTTGTAAAGAAGGTTATGCCATTGGTCGTACAAATCCAGCAGAAAGGACTGTGCGTTATTAGCATCATCTTACCTAGGGGATACGACAGGCCAAGGTGAAGTCTCATAGTTAGTCATTGTGTATCGTATTTACGAGTACGTCTTTTTTGCTGTTTTTTTGTTTTTGTTCATAATGTAATTAATCAATTTCAATAGTACATGTTCAATCATTTATAGATGCATTTCTTATGAAGTATAAGTAGAGATTTTAAAGACTTCAGACACTAAAACCATTTTTAAAATGTCCTCAATAAATGTGTTCAAATTCATATAGATGCTATCAAAACATTTTAAAAATGAGTTGTTGGCAAAAACTATTGAGATATTTGAAAACCAACTACCCTCGATAATACATACAAGCTATTTATCCTCTGAAATAAATAAAATTACCTTCAAAAATGTTATAATTAACTAAAATAATATAAAAATGTTTACAACACGTGAATTTTAGTAGCTATTTGAATAAAATATTCAATTTGCAATAATTCAGTTAATTTAAATTTAATTGTCTCAAAAATAGAAATAATACTGAGAAAATGTTCAGTTTCCATCAACCCCTCTATCCACCTTTGTTTCTGCCACATTTTCCTTCCCCTAAAACTAAACATTTATTAATCGAACGTTACATATATTGAGACATGAACAGAAATGTATCCTTCATTCATCTATGTGATAATTATACATGTGTAAATAGGAATAAAATGAGATAAAACTGTATAACAAAATGCTAGTAACAGAAAACGGAATAAAACATGTAGCCCCTATACACTAGTATTAGTAATACAATGAAAAGTATGTGTGCAGTTTACAAAGTGACAAATTGCGTTTAAAACGAACGTACAACAGTTCCATAGTAAGAGAACATAAACGAATTTCGCGCGGTTTCACGCCCACTAGGTAATCAGGGAAGCCCTGTGCCGAATACAAGTGCAGTTTGCTTATAAGCGACCGGCCGGCGGCTGGCGCACGGAAGCTCAGCATTAATTTAATTGGAAGATTGAAGAGCACTTAAATAAATTTTGTTGAATTATTTAGCTATTAAATAAATCTACAAGATGTCATATTTGTTTTTGTGGTAAGCGATTGTGGTTTGCCAGCTTAATCTTAAGCTAGCTCACTAATAATCACGCAAAAATTTTAAGAGAAAAATGCTTAATTAATTAGGAATTAAATAGTTTTAATAGTACTTCTATTTTTTTGTGGTATCCGATTGCTGTAGTGCTAACTTAAGGGAGCTATCTTCATGGGCCTCCGCGGATGTACGCGAGCAGCAAAAGAGTGAAGAACCATGGTTCTTTTTTAAGAGCTGAGAGTGAACCGTTCTTCGAGATAACCGGTTCATTTTAGCGCATCGTGAGCTGATCGCCTATCATCACGGAGTAAAGGACTAGTTGTACTAAATGGATCCCAATGAGTGCAATGAATGTATGAAAGGAATATCCATCAACGCTGTGCGATGTAATTTTAGGCATTCATGGTGGCATTTATATATTTTATTACATTTTGCGTAGATAACAGTTTTTAGAGCTTTCTGTTGCAAAGTTTGGGACATTGTGCAAACGTTGTTTGCGAGTGTCTTCCAGAGGAAGTATGAATTCTAAGATAAAATGGTAAGTTATCAATTCTCTCCTTAGCTTTATTGTTTGTATATTTCAATATAGCGCTTGCAAATTTGTGTTTTCTGCGCCTCTCGCGGAGTTGATTCCGGGAGACCCGGAAGATGGAGTTGACGTATTGATATTCGTGCGATGGTGACAGTGTTATTGACAGGTGTCGAAAATGTTTTGCAAACTAGGTGACGCACGTATTGAGTACTTCAAATGTCTTGTTTCTTGATAAATAGTGTGACTTTTTATTGTGCTTATAATAAGACAGTATGATCTCATTATTAGTTAGGAACTGTTATTTGTGTGCAAGTGAAAGTTGCTTGGGGATGGAACTTCCCACCTGGTCGTTTTCAGTAGAAATGTCTAAAAATAATTTTTTGTCACTCTCCGCCTTTTTACTGTTACTGTTTGGTATATTAAAGAATACAACTGTTGGTTTTTGTCAGTTATGAATTTTCTTTTTTTAAATATTTGTTATCATGTTTTAATAATGTAAATTGCTTTATATATTGATTCTTATCCAAAATAGAATAATAAATTTTGAAATAATAACTGTGGTATTGATAAGGTATAAAAATTGATATTTTGATCTCATGTTGACGAGTGAAAGTTTACAACTGCATGACAACAATTTTGTAAATCTTCTCAGTAAATTTGGAAATGTTACTTAAAATATGAGAAAACAAAGCTTAAGCTTCCATGAAATTTCGATACTCTGCTGATCTATTTTATCTCCTGCCACAACATTTTTTTTTTCCTTTTTCATTGGGTTTCTTACTTTTTTTTTATTTTTATGAATCAATTTAGATTTTTCTGACCTTGCAATTAGTACACTACTAATGCTACTACTACTTTTGTTATCCATTAATGTCCACTTCTGAATCCATCCTTTAACTTTCCTCTACCTCCCTTTTTTAAGATTCGTGAAGCTAGTGATCCTTATGTTTCCTACAAAACTTATGGAAAACCGTATGAAATTTTCGAAATACAGATTTTATTAATCAAACGTTGGATGTTCAGGTAGTACTGTCAAGTAATTTAGGGTACAACACAGCACATTATCTATAAGGAAAAGTTTCTTTGGTAAAAATAATGAAGTTTTCAATTATGAAAATGAAACAAATATAAATGCCCTGTGTGTATTACATATTGCACAAGCAGAGAAAAATTGCTTTATTAATTCTGTTTACCATTTAGGATTAAAGTAGCATTTTATAGCATCTGTCAGATTCTCGCTTTCTTTACTAAAAGCTAAAAACTTCTGTGTTAATTAATTGATAATACAATTCGTATTGTGTATACCACTAGGTTGGTTTCATTCAGTTCATATTACTGCTTTCAGTTCTACATCAACAAATATTTCAATGAGAAATATATTTTTGAGTAACAAGCATAGTAATTTTATTTTATTCATAATTTTAGAAAATAATATTGTTGATTTTGGCAGAAATGTCTACAGTAAAATTTGGTGATGCAACGTAGTTGCAAAAGACCGCTCTGTTCAAATTGTGTGGTATTTTCTGCTCGACAGTTGAATGGTATCACTCAATGCAACGTGCTAGGCAGTGAGTGTTGTATCCCTTGAATTTTAGAACATGAAGATATTTCTGGACCTGAAATAAAATCCTTATTGGTTGAAGATGAAGATTTAACCATGTATTGTTGTCCCTGAAGTTTTAGAGAAGCTTTCTATTTTGCAATATGCTGAAAAATGCAATGTTTGTGTTGGTGCTTACAGACTCAAAATATCAGTTGCAAATACTTGAGTGAATATGTTTCAGTTGTGCATTGCTCAGTGTTTTTTAATTATGTGTTTTCATGATATATGGGGACAAGAATAATCATTCAGATACACATAACACTAATTGTAAAAACCTGGTAGTACAGCAGTGTTGTCTCATGATTTCTTACAGTGCAATGGATCTTCAGACACAAGCTCTTTTTAGAAAGTGAATGCATAATCTAAAATTCATCTCGATCAACTCCAACACTCACTGGAACTGTATTCCTGTCATCCCAATGGGTAATAAAGCAGTATTTTTTCAAGTTTTCCTGCTTGGGCCATCTTCGTGGTGGTGTGCCTCTCCCCCTCTTGCCATACGGTCTATAATTTAAAGCCATCCATTGTACTCCTTGTTTCTCCATTCTTTTCATATGCTTTCTCCATTTCCTCTGGTCCTTTATATCTTCCTAGTTTTTAGTATTCTAATTTTCTCATATTGAATCTTCTCTTTTCTTGTTAACCCTAAAATTGCCCTTAAAACTTCATCTCAGCTACTTCCACTCTTCTGATTTCTCTTTTGACCTTTCTCCAAATTTCTGAACTGTAGTTTAAAATGGCTTAGAAGTAATGAAAGCTTATGATTGTTTTCTCATAAGTCTAAAGAGTATTTTAATTTTTCCACTGTTTCCGTTATATTTTTGTCATTTCTGATCCATATCTTTTTGAATGAACTCAATTAAATTTCAGAGGTATTTAATGCGGTAACTTGAATTGTTGTTGAATTTTCTATTGCCATTTTAGCTTGGAAGATATTCTTTGCTATGAAAGCTAACGTTTTTTTTTTTTTTTGGCTTGATATTTTAATTTGATACTCTTTGTTTATTTTGCTTCATATGTAGGCTTTTTTTTGTCATGTCTTCCGAGTCTGTTATTTTGACTTGTACATCTGCAAATACCATTGTCCATGGTGTGGTTCCCAGTTATTGCCCCAGTTCTGGTTTTGTTTTTACATTTATTCCTGTTTTCCTAAACCATGTGGTTCAAGTGGATGTTGAAGAGGAGTGGTAACAATGTTCATTCTTAGGCATTGACCTTTGTGGACTATTTGCTGTGTTGAATTTTTGTCATTTTTTATTATTGTCTTTGGATCCAGGTATAAGCTCTGTATACTTTTGATTAAATGTTCTGGTACTGTTATTTCAATCAAAAGCTTCCTTAATTTCTCTCTAGTCGCATTGGTGTAGTGTTTTTTTTAGTCAATGAACACTACATTTGTTGAGAAGTTATGTGTTTTCCTCTTTTCTGTAATCAGCTGGAGTGTAAATATAAGATATATTTTATTTAAAGATGTTGTCATTGCCAACAATTGTTGGCAATGACAACATCTTTAATTATTTTAAAAATGCCAAAGATATCACACCACAACACCTATACATTTTATTTGTCTAGCAAGATCCATGTTGTGCTGCCATGATTATTTCCTCTTTTACTGTTCATCATTGCTTTATTATGTATGTAATAATTTTTTCAAGCTTATGGTTCTATTGTTGTTAGTCTTTCTTGCATTCTTTTTAAAGGATGCTCTACCACTGTTGCAGTCCTCCATTCTCAAAGTACTATTTTGTTTCTCAATCTCATTCATTAGTTTTAGAAGTTGGGTTTGTATGTCTTATCCTCCCCATTTTATCATTGCTGTCGTTTTTGCGATTATTTCTGCTCTCTTCCTGTTTGTCAAGTTGGCTTTTAATTTTTCTAGCTCTTCCATTTCATCATGGTACTTCTACATCATTGTGTCTTCTTGGGGTGAGTCATTCCACTATCTTGTTCCTCCCATTTTTTAATCTGAATTGTGTTTCTGTTGGATCTGTCTCTGCTGTTCCCAGTTTCTTCAATATTTTGTATATATTCTTTGTGCTCCTGTGGAGTCTTTATTCAGATATTTCACATACTTGCCCCTACTTGTCATTCTTCATTATTTCACAGGTTATCTTCCTCCCTCTTGCGGTTTTGTTTGTGTGAGATATGGTTGTCTTAAATATTATAGCTCTTGTTCTTAAATATTTTTGATAAAAGGTTTTATTTTAATCATGAGCTCTATTATTTCTTTGTTCCAGGTTCTCAGTCTTTTTCTTTTAGAGGATAGTTCTTAGGTGCTTTTTGGCTGAATCGAGGACCATCGTTTTTCCAGTTTCCCTCAAGTTTTACTAATTTTTCATCCGTTTTTCAGTTTTGTCCTGAATGTTAAGTGGTACATGCTTTCCTCTTCCATGGCTTTTTCTTTTGTTTGTGATTTCTTCTTGCTAACTTTATTGCATTTGATAATGCCATTCTGCGTATGAGTAGGTAGATATTGCTATCTATTTCTTTTCCTATATATACTGCAGTCTTTAGTGTTTTGCATTGTTTTCTGATCTGTATTTTTTTCTCAATGTGCTTATAGAATTAGAAATGTTCATCATATACACACACATTAAATATAGAAAAATTCATTTCAAAGTGCTTGTAATGGCTTATGCTTTGAAGTAAATTTTAAAAGGAACTTGAATGCAATGTTTGATTGCATTTGTAATTTATAGAAGGCCCCGTGATTTTTTAGATAATTATTTAAATAAACACCACAAATCAATCATTTGTTATTGTATTTTACAGTTCAGGTAATAAAGGCAAAGACGATAACACATAATAACTAGTGACTAATGTAAAAGTGTTTTTTGAAATGATTGTGTAAAAAATCAAGAAACATTTAAATCTTAAAAATCCAGCAAACTGCAAGCAAACAAGGCTGTGAAGGAGTTTTCTGTTTATTTTTGTACCTATGCTGCGTAAAATCTGGACTGCAAAATAAGATGTTATGGACCAGTTGATTTTAGATACATTGAATTAATGGTTTACTAGACATCTTGAAAATTCATTTACGTATTTTCTTAAACTGTGGAACTAAATAAATATGGAATTTTGAATTAAATTCATTAATCATCATCTAGAAGAAGGGTATTGATAGAAGTGGGAATTCCCGTTTTTTAACATACCATTTTTATCATCATTATTGTTCATTTTTGCTTCTGTCAGTTTTATTCTGAGATAGACCAAGTATCCACATAATCTAGTGAATATTAACGAAAATTGAGATCATTGTTTAACAAATTTATACTTAATTTTTCTAAATTAATCAGTGTTTGATGTTGAAAATACAAATTACAAAACACAATCTCAAAGAGCAATCTAACAGGAGTTTGTTTATCTGGTATTTATAAATTATTTCAATATATATTATTAGAATAGAATAGAATTATTCCATAAATAAATATAAAAATACTAGTAAGTAAACGGAAATATATTAAGGTAAGGTTTCACCCTTTGGGCAGTCTCGGAAAAAGTACGCTGTACGAAAGACATTTTGCGTAGGTG